AAGAGCGTGTCGTCCCAGTCAAGCACGATAACGGTCGACGGCGCGGGCGGGCGGACCGGCTCGTACGCCGGGCGCGGCAAGGCGCACGGGCGGTGGACCACGGTGACCATGTTGCTGCTGGACGAGGTAGTTGCAAGTTGCCAACTGTCAAGATCGCAAAACGGGCTCTTGTGTTTTAAACTCAGACGGACAAAGATATGCCCGGAACTTCAAGGACGTCCATTTTACTTGGTTTCAGTATGCCGTCTCTGAAAAAATACGCGAGTTGCCTTTCAGCCAATGAAAACGCACGCCGCACGCCCATCCGGTGCGCACTTTTAGCCAATCACAGGTGAGGTACAGTTGAAGTTGTCCCAGGAACCAATCGGTATCCATCCAGGTGGACCACCCTGTCGTATTAAAATAGAGTCCAATTTAAATCAAGTAGCACGCTGGACACGCGCCGCGCGGGCGCAATGTACTTGCGGTTTGTATGCATTTTATTGTTCCATGTCGGCATCGGCCCGTGTCCATCGACTGCGCTATTTTATGAGCTCTGAATTTAATAAAATCAGAACCCAACTTCTGCCACATCGCGCGTGGTGTTGATTGATGATCATCATTTTTGAAGGAATTTATTTTATTTTATTATTATTTTTGCTGAAGCAGACGGCGCCGGAGATTGAGCTTCAACGGCGTTCGGGGGCGCGCGGTCGAAACCGGATTGGCTAAAATAGAGTAGAACACTCCGTCTGATTGGCTCCAAGGAGCTGCCAGAAGGTCGCAACAGCCCGACCAACATTGCGCCTGCGTCGCCGCCCGCGTCTGCCATCCCGTCGCTGCCCGCGTCTGCCATCCTGCGCCGCATCCTTCGCCGCTTCGACGCACCGCCTTCATGCGGCATGGAAGGTGCGATATGGATGATGGCAATGGCGCATGCAATGATAGCCTGCGTCAGTTTGCACGACGCACAGCGCTGTCGATCGATGCCACGCACGCGCGACGAGGCAGACGTCCGCAGTGTCCCAACCGCCGGTAGCCTTCGCCAGCGCGAGGCACCGCGTGGCACGCAGGATATGATTCTCCTGCAGCCGGTGAGGCACAACAACGCAGCTGCAACCACGGACTTGCTGGCTTCAAGAACCAGAGGCCTGGCGCCAGGGCCGCTCTACCGCGTTGCCAATCTCCGGACGATGCGCGTGCTCGAGGACTGGGCGGCGCGTGTAATCCAAGTGCGTCGCTGCCTATCATACCGACGGGCCACAGTGCGGGTGCTAGGGCCACGTGCGGCGCTTCCAGGCGGCTGCGCGGGAGCGACACGCAGCAGCACGACGGGACCAGTCGTTGCGTGTCGTCGCCGCCATGCACGACCTCGTGGACGAAGTCGTTCGAACAGAGCTCATCCCGGATCTCTTGATCGAGCTCTTCACATCGCAGACGTCGACAATAGAGGTTAGTCGCAACGCATCGCCAGAACGTAGTCGTTATGCCTCGTCCAGGCTGCACCACGACACGAGCACGCCGCGGAGGCAGTGTATGCCGGCGTCCTCGACAGCGTTGTGCGCTCGCTTCTTTTGGACATTGTGCACGTAGGTGGACTCTGAGAAGAGTTGACTGGATCTGAGCACGTGCGCAGACAACGATCCAGCGTCTGGTCCAAGATTTCCTGCAGACCACAAACACGGGACCAGACGACGACCCACTCGAGTTGTTGATGGACGCCCTGCTCACGGACCTCTTGCAGCCGCGACTGCTCGACGTCGTCCACGAGAGTAGGCCTTTGACTGCAGTTTGCACCGAGAGCTTGTCTTTACCTATAGCCATTGCGCACCTCGTGACGACCTACTTGACGGACTCGGACGCGTCCAGCGTTTACAGCGCGCTGCTGCGGGACGAACTACGCTCCGTCGCATGCAGTGCCGTCGACGACGAGCGGTGCCACGGTGTGTGGTCTGTCGTGTGCGCCGAGGTCTGCCTCGTGTCCTCGTCGTCCGTCATCTCATGCCAATGCAGACGCTGCCGTCACTGCTGACAGAGATGGTCACAGCCGCTGTCCAAGAGGCCAGAGACGCCAACGCCGTTCGTTTGGCGGTGAAGGATCGAGTGCTCATCGAAGACGCCTCGACGAGCCTTCTGAATCACGCGCTGCTCACGAGCGTGCTGCAACTTTTGGCGCAGCAAGGCGACCGCATTCTGTTCCAGGTACATGTACTACATATTTGTCTACTTCATTCGACTCGAAGAAAGGCTCATGGAGGCTTCGTACAACAGGATGCATGTGATCAAATGCTGTCGCATGCGATGCTGGCCGCGCTTCTCGAGCGCTTGGTGCGCACCGAGGGCAGCGTCGATGCAACTAGCCGTGTCCTTGTGGATTTGCGCAACCGAATTCTGCAGCAACACCTCTTTGAGGTCCTCTCGGTCTGCGTCGCCACCGACTTGGACGCCTACGAGGCGCATCTCGCCGACCTGGAAGGCGACTAACGCACTGCCAATGTTTGTTTCTTGAGCTTGTTTCTTGAACTAGACCAACAAGTGCTAGAATACACTACGAGCGAGGGGTGTAGCCATCTACGAGTAGTATCGCAAGCGAGATGGCTGTGGACCACACATCATCGGTCGCCCTCACCGAGTGGACCAATACCCAGTTGGAGAATGGCTCGCTACGTAGCGATGCTGCTGTGTATCGCTCTTTTTGCTGGTGTCGTTAAGGCGCAGACGAGTGCAGACGTGGTTGCGAACGAGGCGTGTCATTTGACCCACGGCTTTGGCTCCTTGGCGACGGGCGCGCTGCGTGCCAGCGGCTTCTTTGACTGCTTTCGCCCGCTCTCGCACATGGACGCCTTCTTGTCGGCGCTCGTGCTTCAGCATCCCACGTTGCTGACCTCGTTGATCGTCGGTTCGGCCAACAGTGGTATTCATTCCATGCCAAGTGCACTAGAGCGAGGCGTGTCTCACGCACGTCGTAGGGCAGGCGATACGTGCGTACACCGTGCGTTCCAGCGGTCGACGTGGAAAGGCACCTCGGATCCTCTACCTCCAAGCCACGCAGCATGCGCGCGAGTGGATTGCAGCTGCGGCTGCGGTCTATGTGATTGCAGCGCTCTTGGATGCAATCATGGGCGCAAAAGACCTGCCCTTTGACGTGGTAGTCGTCCCCGTCGTGAACGTCGACGGCTACATGACGACGTGGACGACTGCGACCCAGCGCTACGGGCGCAAAAACAGCCGTGGCGTGGACCTCAACCGCAACTGGCCCAACCCGTTCTGGTCGACGGCGGCCGGCGTGCAGCGCGACTCGGACGCGTATCCTGGCACCCATGCGCTCAGCGAGATGGAGACGTCGGCGCTGGCTGCGTATTTGGGCAAGATGCAGTCGCAGCTTGTGGCGCTTGTCGACGTGCACTCGTATGCTGGCATGGTGCTGTACCCGTACACGGACGCACGCACGACGCCGCCGCCAGCGACGCGTGCCTTGGTGGCGGCGGTTGCGAGCGCCATGGGCAGCAACTATTCGAGCGGGCAGCGGCTCGACGACCAAGTGCTCGTTGGCACCTTTCGAGACTATGGCTGGCGAACGCTACGCAAGCCGTCGCTGACGATCGAGATTGCGGGCGCCGACTTTGTTGTGCCGGCGAGCACGATCCGGCGCTCCGGCGACGACGTTGTCGCTGGACTCTACGCGTTGGCCAAGGGTATCGCCGCGGGCCCGTGAGCTGCTCGTGTAGCTGATAGCATTCTCAAATTTAAGCATAACAAGAGACGCATGCAAGGCGCCGTGCAGTAAGCCGAGGTGGAGATGCTATGGAGCCTCCCTCCTGCCCGCAAGATCGCTTGTGGCAGTACCGGTAGCCTTGGCATCGAAGATCGAAGGCATGAAAAAACATTTCGTTATTAATGCGGGTCAAATTACACGTAATACAATAAAAACCATTCAATTCGTCGCCGCTTCGACGAAGTTGTGGCAAAGATCAAGCGACCAACAACGATGGACGACGAGCGACAGCGGAAGCGCAAGCTGTACGAGGACGGGGCCAAGCGACCGGAGGATGGCGTCCCGCGCTTCTCGATGGCGACGCAGAAGAAGACCAAGTTCGACAAGGAGCGCGAAGAGCAGGAGCGCAAGAAGCGCATCGCGGACCAAGAGGCCGCCCAAGTCTACGAGTCGTTCGTCGCCTCGTTCGAGCACGAGCCGCGGCAGGCGTTCGTGCAGGCCGGCGCATTGAGCGCACCGGCGTACACGCCGCAGCGGTACCAGACGCCGCCACCGCTCCGCCGCCCGACGCCCGGCCCGGCGCGGTCGTCGTCGGCCACATCGTCGTCGTCGTCGTCGGCGAAAGTGAAAGCGTTTGCGTTTGCAATGGACGAAGAGGACGAGCCGCCGGTCGTCGACGTGCCCCGCAAGAAGATCCGCGAGATGGACCTGTTCCTCCAAGAGATCAAAGAACAGTACGCTTCCTCCTCTGCTTGCGGTATGGAAAGGATTGACGACGATGATGGTGCAGTAAGTTTGAGCCCGCGCCGGCCATGGACGTCTACCCGCACCGCGACATTGGCGGGTCCCACGACGACGGCGTCGGCGACACGACCAATCTCTACGTCGGCAACCTGCCGCCCACGATCACCGAAGACGCGCTCCGGGTCTCCGCTTCGTCTTCATCTTCGTCGTCGCTCATGGATGCATCGTGGTAGACGATCTTTGAAGAGTATGGCGCCATCTACTCGGTCAAGATCATGTGGCCCCGCAATGACGAAGAGCGTCTCCGCGGCCGCCTCACCGGGTTTGTGTGCTTCCGCCGACGCGACGACGCCGACGACGCGCGTCAGCACTTGAACGAGCGCATTGTACGCCCATGCTCCTACGTCAACAACCCGTACGAGGCCTCTGTAGGTGGACGGGCAAGAGATCATGGTCGGGTGGGGCAAAGCCGTTCGCATGGACGCCCCCAAGCCGCCCTCGATGTTTGCACCGCCATTGGCGTTCCCGCGGCCGCTTTTGACGCCGCCACCGACGACGTTTGCACGCCCGCCACCGCCGCCCTCGATGGGGTTTCCGCCCCGCCCGCCGTTTCCAGGTTCGCGCGTCGCGAGTGCGCACGACCTGTTGCGATATATAGCGCATTAGGACCGCCGCCGCGCCCGACCATGATGATGGGGACGCCGCCATCCGGGCCACCGCGCGGCCTGCCCTTCGCTCGTCCGCCCATCATCGTCGAGCTGCCCGACAAAGATACCGTGCGCTACGTCAACCGGTTCGCGGAATGCGTCGTATGTCGTCATCATGCTGTCGAGAGCATTGGCGTGGTATAAACGAGGATCGGATGTAGGCCGAAGGCGGGCCGCAGATGGAAGACGCGATGCGGCTGCGGCCGGACGACCGGTTCTTGTTTCTCAACGACCCGAATTCGAGCTTGTTCCACTACTACAAGTGGAAGGTGCTCTCGCTGCGCCGCGGCGAGAACGACTACCGCTGGGGCCGGGACCCGATCCCGGGCGAGAACGGACTCGTGTACCTTCCGCCGCCGCCGCGGGACAACGCGTCGTCGTCCTTGGTGCGCGACGGTGCGCCACGGTCGCGTAGCTCGAGTCCGGCGCGGTCGCCGCGCCCGGCCCGCCGCACGCACCACCGCTTCACGCGCGAGGCCAGCAGTCCGCGGACCAATTCGGCGACAAAAGACAAGGGGAATGTCATGACGGGGGCCCAGTTGGCCGCGGCGCGGGACAAGGAAGAGTATATCAACTTATCAATAATGATCTTGGGGAACTCACTTTTCCTGGCGTAGGGGCCGTCGGCGCAACCTCTTGGATGCAGACGATTACGATGATTTCTGCGAGCTCCTCGAAGACGTGACGCTCGAGCGAGACGCGATCTGCGACGTGATGGCGTTTGCGCTCGACCACTCGGAGTGCGCGGCCGACATTGTGAGCATTTTGGCCAAAGCCTTCCGCGTCGAGTACACCGAGAACACCGAGAACGACGACGACCATGACGAGAAGACACAACTGGTGTTGCCGCCCATGACGTACGTCGCGCGGCTGTATGTGATCTCGGACATTCTGCACAACTCGACCGCTCCGAAGAAGAACGCGTCCTTGTACCGGACGCAGTTTGAAGAGTGCCTGCCCGAGATCATGCAAGTGCTCAACCACGTGCACCAGACGATCGTCGGCCGCATGTCGTTCAATTCTATGCGCGACAAGGTACTTTTTATTTCGACATGGACCGTATTTGGGACGCGATCTAGGTGCTCTCGGTGCTGAATGCGTGGGAGACGTGGAGCCTCTTTCCGCCGTCGTACCTCCTCGGTCTCAACGCAACGTTCCTCGCCAAGAAGGATCCATCTGATGTCGACCCGCGCAGCGTCTTGGGCCCCGAGATTCTCAACCTCTCGGAAGACCGGCTGAAGCGCAAGTGCAAGCAAGCGGGGCTTGTCTCGTCGGGCTCGATGCTCGACATGTACGCGTGCCTGGCCATGCTCCAGCGGTTCACAAGTGTCTCGAAAGCGCCACCGACAAGTGCAAACAACCCAGACGACCTCGATGGCGCACCCATGGACGAGGTGCCGGACGCGCCCATGGGCGGCGACGACGATGACGACATTGATGGCGTGCCCCTCGATGGAAACCACGAAGATGAGGATGATCTGGATGGGGAGCCCATTGACGAGGATGTTGATGGCGAACCCCTCGACGACGATGTCGATGGCGAGCCGCTGGACGACAACGATGCAGCATGAGTAGGTAGACCATGCCAGACGATCGAGTTGCGTTGATTTTTACTTTTCCCCGTCGACGAGCTGTGGTGGTGACCACTGCTGGAGGCAGCATGATGGCCGGACGCCTTTAGCTTTGCCAGGTTCTGGAGTAGCGTCGTTCGAACGACCGCGTCGGGTGCCAGTGTCATTGCGTACCTACACCCGTGCGATGTACAATGGCCCGTCGATCGTCCCAACGACGTACGCTTGGAGCGCGACGAGCTTGGCCACGTACGCATTGCGCTCGGCCATGAGCCCGAGCTTGATCGTCTGTACATGCATCTCGCGCGAGTGTGCATCGTGCTAAGGATGGCTTGATAGACCCAAAAGAGGTGGCGAAGCAGAAAGGATATGGCAGATCGCGTGCAGCTTCTTGAGCTGCTGGAGTTTCTCGATGGCCGCGCTGTCGTCCGCCGCAAGCGGGTGTCAAGCGCCGTGAGATGATCGAGCATCTAATGAAGAGGTCATTGGCAGCGTACTGCACACAGGCGTGCGTACGTCATTGACGTCGTGCCACACGTGGTCGGGGTCGGCGGGGGCGCCTGCAAGGGGCAGCATGGGCCTCGACGGCCATATGCGCTTCGCGCCTACCAGAACTTACGGCTAGCGATGGCTTCGTGGGGATCGGCGTCGGCGCAGCATGGTGCTCGAGCGACATGGACGGATGGAACTCCATGAGCGGCGCGGCCATGAGCGCGATCTTGCCAAGCGGTGCCACCAGCAGGTTTTTTCTCAAAACCCATATATATATGTCGTGAAAACTGGCCAACGGTGGCGTGTTAAAGCGGGTGACGGTTGCCAACCGCTTAAATAGTGTTCGATTTCGATTAATGGTGTGATGGGTCTGAATAATGTTGACAGCGTTTGATTGGCCCGAACTGACGTGGCATTTGCAGAAATGGCATCGAAAAGGCACACGTTGGAGCAGACCAGCACCACTGCAGTCCACGCCGAGCCGACTGACAGCGAAGGCAACCATGACCTCATCGCCCACGCTATGCGCAAGGACGGCCTCACCACGCCGCAGAAGTGGAAGGATCACCGCATGAAGATCGGCCGAGCTCTTGGCATCGACGACGACAAAAAGCTCAGGGTACACGTCACGATATTTTCAACCAATGTGACCACTACCCTATAGAATTTGGTGTCGGCTGAAATGCGTCGAGTTCGTGAAGCTGGCGCAGCGAAGGCTTCTGTTGGTCCCACTGATGCAGACCCTCGTGCAGCTAAGAGGTCCGTAATACCGGTACAGTTTCGTGGGCTTGGCAAAATTCCCATAGGACCTACAAGGCAGCGTACATCAAGAGTGGATTCGGCGTGTTCAAGATACAAGATAGAGAAATATACCGAATACCATAGTAATAACCAAAACCAATTTACAAATCCCGCATGCTATACTGTAGAGCTCCGCAAAACGGACTCGACGGCAAACTGCAAATTTACACGCTCGGAGTAAATACAACAATGTGTTAATCTTGTATATGTTCACAACTTGTATACTTATCAACTTGAGCGACTGGAAAGACTATCCGATGGTAAAGTCGATTGTTCCGGGTGTGGGTTCAATTCCAGCCGCCACAATTTTTATACCTAATTATATGCCTACCGTGGCACTGCCAATGTGAATGGTGGGCTGGTTGCGTCTGTACATGCAATCGTCAGTAGCTCCGACACAGAGAAGCATGGTATACTACTGTGTGAAGTGCTCATGCATTGCAATTTTTAAATGTTGTGCTGGTTGCGAAGCAGGCCTTCCACGACAGCATCGGCCACTTCTGCCACATGAACGGGAAGGACGGAACTGGAATTAATGTGGATGGCATGGTCCCTTAAGACTTGGTCCATATAGGCTCCATTGGCGACTTGAATAGCACGCAGCAACGGAGCGCCGAGGTGCGGCGACGGCGCAAAGTGTTTATTTCGTTGTCTCGTCGAGCCGTTCGATTTGGGAATTGTAGAAAGACGCCCGGT